TAGTTTGGATTTTTTTGAGGTGGGGTTGCATGTATACTCCTGTGTTCCTCGAGGTAAAATTACAGATTTTGTCAATGGAGTCCTGTGGCTTTCCCTGTTGGAAAGGGCTACCTGATGGCAAGGTCAAGCGGAGGGGGGGGGCAGAAAAACATATTTTAGCCACCTAAAAAAAAAACCTGTTTAGGTGTACGCTATATTTAGGATTTTATCACTGCTTTATCTTTTGGTCAATTGTGGTTGCGAACAAACAAAATGGCGCGGGAAAAAAGCCAAGATGGCGACTTCCACTTCTTATACACAGTCTGTGCTCACAGCTCTAAATAATGATGTTCTAATTGAAAAATCCATCCAACATTGGCTCAGATAAATGCTTTACTTTTCCTCATAGTGTAAAGACACAGTAGCCTTGTTTTACCGTTTATTCTCATGCAATTCATGATTGACTTTATGAGAAATCAAAGCACCACAAGGTCGCCCGTGGTTCCACTAGAGCGGCGTCTTATCAGCACTTAGCTGCTATTTGTAGACATCATGAAGCTGCTAAACATGACATCATCCGTCTCCATATCACTGTTACAGTTGGTTGACACCAGGAGTTAACATCAGCGATTCATTACCTTTGGAAAAGATGCAAGGAGAAGTCACAACACACGCCAGAAAGAATTGCGGATTATAAGCCACAATGGTTTCAAGTGGGTATGTTTGATCAAGTCAACGTGAATAATGAGACTCAAAGCCACATTGGAGTTGTTTTGCTGGCGCAGCAGACGAACTGGCACGGCGAAGTGTGCTTCGACCTCCTCAGTGTTTACGATGGCTTCCATCTATCCGCCCATCACCTGTTTCGAACATGAAATCATGTCTGGCTGTGTCGTTTTCCTCGGAAAAATTGCTCCTTTTTTATTATTTTTTATTCACTGAACAGCGATCGGATCCAAGTAATTAGCAACTGGTTAGAGCATTTAAGAGTGTGAGTCAGAGATGGCATCGTTTGAAATCTCAGCGTTCACATCCTGAAACACACATAGCTTGTGTAATTGCAAGACGGAGGCGAGGATCCCTCTATTAGTTGGAATGATGTGTCAAACCTCCACGAACACTGCATGAGCTGGCATACTGATTGGAAAAGGCAACACGAGTCCTATTGCCAGTTTGTGTTGGCACCGTCTGATCAGCTGCGTAACTACCACAAATGAACACAGTCGTACACTCTAACCACGGCATGAAATAAACTTTAAACCTCAAAAACCTCCAAGCAATCTTAAAAAACCCTTAAAGCGTACTCGCATGCACGGACACGTGGAATTTGAGAAGAAGTGTCTTGACTGTCTGCCGGTCATATTTCGCGACCCACTTTAAAGTCTATCTTCAGCGTTTTTGATTCATTGCATCCGCGGCTTTGCCCAAAGCAATTTCAGTGAGATTTACTGCTTTACAATCTCACACACACACACACACACTCAACCACAAGATGAAGATATTCCACTAAATATTTTTACCTTGCATGATCACACAGCGTACATGAAGGATTCAAAGACGATCACTTCTTTAAAGACAGAGGGATGGTTAAAACATCATTGTGAATCAGACATCCGTTAGCTACGCTAATTAGAAGTCCCCACACACCTTGCTTATATTATCTTCGTCATCAAGTGCATGGAAATAGGCCTTAGACTTAATTATGGCATTTTTCACATTTTATAGACCTGTGTGATTTACTGTCAAATATACCAAACATCAAAGACTTCTAAGTAGCATTAGCTTGCTAGCTTTAGTAGCACTAGCTTTCTAGCTAAAATGCTGTGGCTGCTTTTACGATACATTGACACTGTAGCAAGATGCTTAATACTGGACTGGACATGTAAGAACATGTCCATCTCATTAGCATATGAGCATCATGCTGCATTCACACAGAATCAGGCAGATGGTAGACGGCAAGATGGATATCATGTAGTGAGCGAGAGCAGGGTGGTAAAATTAGGTGAGGTTAGCAGAGAATATCGGCAACGGTTACGGTAGACGCCATTGCCATACAAGGTTGAAATATTTGCCCTCCTCCGCGACGAAATCTAGACCCAGATGTTAAATAGCTCACTCACTCACACAAGCAGAAAAGTTGTTTACGTTTGCTGAGCATATTAAAAGAAAGCTACATTTTATAGCTACATGCATTACTAGAATACAATAGAATAGAATAAAAATAGTAGACTTAATTGATTTAATGTATTTCCTTCCATCACCCGTGCCGTCCAGAGTGTTGTCCGTCTGCCTGATTCCATTTGAATGCATCATTAGGCTGTTATATAATCTTTTACTTTAGTAAAAGTATTGATACTTTAATATTTTAACTTCAAATTAAATAAGTATTGATCAACAATTTAAAAAACACTTTCTTACAAGTAACAGTCTTGCATTCACCCATACTAACTTAAGTAAATGTATGTAAGTATATAACCAAGAAAATGTACTTGTAGTATAAGTAAAAGTACTCATCATTCAGCCAAATGAGCTCTTTAGTTGTTACATTATTACATATTATAATATAAGATTATTATTATTTTTGATGCAGTAACATACAAGGTGTATTTTTATATTGTTGCTGTCTGCAACAGAGCTGATTGTATTAATTTGTTTATACTATTGGATGGTATAACAACGCATTGCATTTCATATACTCATATAAGTCAAATAAATGTAGTGACAAAAAAAGTACATTTCCCTCTGAGATTTAGTGGCGTAGAAGCATAAAGTATAATTCAATTAAAATACTCAAGTAAAGTACCTCAAAATTGCACTTAGGTACAGTGCTTGAGTAAATGTACTTCGATACTTTTCACCAATCAAATGGGAATTCAAAATGGGAAATATTTGGTGAGAAAAATAAGAAATACATGAATTGGATGAGGTAGTGAAAGACGGTCTAATTTATTGATGTATTTAATGATACTTGTGACTTGGTTGATCTAAAACACTTGAAGGGCTCATTCAAGAGCACTGTGAGGAAAATCTGAACGCAAAATAGACGCAAGTCAACGGTCAGCCCTCGGTCCCGAGCTCCTCATGGCCTGCCAATGTGGCGGCTTGGCTCAGGACGGTCATGTTCCCCGACAGAGACTGAGTGAGAAACCCTTTGAAAAGGAGCCCAGCCAAAGCAGGCCGGGGCCGGGCCAAACCGAGGCAGACAGGCTCCCGACTGTTTTCTCCCCGTCGTTGGAGCTCCGAGGGTTGGCTGCCGTTTTCGTCCGAGCTGGCAGTCCGAGTCAGAGGAGGTAGTTAATGATATAGCTCATGAAGCTGTCAAGGCTGTTGGCAGTGTCCACAGTAGGCCTATTGACATAGCGCAAAGTCTTCCCCCTGCTGAGTTCACAACCGTAAAGATACAGATACATATATATATATATATAGTGTATATATACACTATATTTATAAATATATTTTACCCATCTTTACTTTGAAAAACACATGATTTACATCTCCATAGAGCTGGGGAACAGCATGTTTTTTGTTTTCATAGCACAGGCCTCAAGAATAACTTCACTGTGGTGGACTCGCTTGTGTTGGACTGTTTCTGTATGAGTAGTAGGAGGAAACTGCAGTGTGCTTCTGCATGCAGAACCCAAAGCACACAAATCAGGTGTGTCCTACAAAGACCTGCTTTTACACCACCACCTTCCAAAGAATGTTTCATGAGTGCTAGATAAAACATGACATGAAGGGAATCCAGACGCTGTTTAGGTTCCAAACTACTAATATATAATAGTTTTCATTGTGATGGAGTCAAATGGCCCACACCTGCACGAGGGATCCAGGGTATTTGATATCAGCCTCGCTTTACTTCCGATATCCTACACGTCACATGTCACAGCTATTTGAAGTCACTAACACAAACCAAACATTACAAAACGGATAGTTCCGGTCCTTGATTGCGACTGGCTGAGCCACATTCAAAGCCGGTGTTCAACACACAGCTTTGATCGCAGTACATCAGTTCTTTACCGCGCCAAAAGCATCGCGTGAATTTACTGGATGGGCTAAGCGTGGCGCATGAGATGGACGGTCAGATCATTTCGAGCCAAATGAAATGATTGGACACGATTTGTTGATTGCTGTCGGAATGAAAAGAGACTTTCAACAAATGTTTTTGACCCCAGTCTTCAAGCTGTTTTCTGCTGAATGACGCAGAGGAACTGCATTACTTTGAGGAATAATATTTCTTTGTTATGAATAAATTATGGCATTTTTAGCTGCTGCGTGTTTATTTTATGAAACCTTGCCAGGTGTATGTAGTCACCATTTTCTAAAAGCAATAAGCCATTTGAGGCCATTGGTTAAGGGGCGTTGTTTGGCACAACGCAGAGCTTATTGGTGTATTGGCGTATTGCTTAGCTTCCCACTACTGCTAGCTCACATGAAAAGTGTTCAACTTGCAAAAACATGACGTAGCTTTCAATATGAAGCAGTCGTTGGGAATTTGTTTCGCCGGTGAACAGATGAACAGATGAAAGTGGTCCGACTGATATGTTTCTGACAAAGTCGCCGCTCTGCGAGTGTTTGCTGTAGTATAAAACCAGACTTTCTGCCAGGCGTCACTAAATCAACCAGGTCTGAAATCTGAAGGATTCCAAATGGAATCTTGGCTAATGTGTGCTGCACACATAATGGGTTTATCAATGGCCATATGTGTTATTGGAACAGTGTTGTCGTGTTGGAGGTTTCAATTCACACAAAAATGTTAGCGCCTGCCGCTATTTTCCCGGTCAGTTGTGTAAAAGTAATTTACCAACAACAATAAAGCACTGAAAAGTAGATTTAGACCATCTTCTCTGGTTAACCCCAACCAACCTAAGCCAATCTACCGCTACGCTACTAATGAGCTTTCTTCAATGGAAGGCTTTTATATGGCAGCAGTTAACAGTCCTAACACTCCACTTTGTCCCAGTGTTGCACAGTTACAAAAACCTCTTAAGACCTCCATCTCATCATCTGCCTTGTTTTCCCAGTCGTGGATCCAACCTCGGACGATCCGTTGGTGTCGGTGATCCTGGTGAGCCTGCTACCCCTGCTGATGATGGGGGTGGTGGTTGCCGGAATGTTCTACTGGTACCGAGCCTACCGGCGACGCATTAGCCAAGAGTGGGAGAGCAGCATGAAGAAGCGCAAGCCAAAAGCCGGCGGGCTGGACTGCAGCGACGCCTGCGCCATCATGATGGACGACGACAGGTCGGACAGCAGCTCGACGCACGCCAACCACCTGAACCACAACACCGATCCACTGCCCATAGAGCTGGATATGCTGGTACAGACCTCGTGGCACTTCAGAGTTGTTCTGCTCTAGACCACACAAACTTAAATTCTCACCAGTGTCATCACTTTTGATCCTGTCCCAGGTGGGAAAGGGTCGCTTCGCCCAGGTGTACAAGGCCAAGCTGAAGCAGACCACCTCAGATCAGTTTGAGACGGTGGCTGTGAAGATCTTCCCCTACGAGGAGTACGCCTCCTGGAAGAACGAGAAGGACATCTTCTCCAATACGGACCTCCGGCACGAGAACATCCTCCACTTCCTGACGGCTGAGGACAGGAGGGTGGAGAAACAGTACTGGCTCATCACCGCCTTCCACCACAGAGGAAACCTACAGGTGAGTCCGCCACTTTAAGGTAACCCAACATGAGTAGGGCAGTATTACTTTAGGGCAGTGTTGGGGAAGTATTCAGCCCATTTACTTAGAGGGTAACTTCTATATTTATCTACCTGGACCCTATTATCCTATATTTTTGTGTCCAAGTGAGTAATGGGGACATTACATTTTCTGAAATGAATCCAGTATTTGGGGAGAGCCCCGGAGACGCCAGCCGCTAAACGGGCTGCCATGTAATGGCTCAGTGCAACTCCTCTCCGTCAATGTACGTCCACTAAAGGAGCTTGTTGTTGCCACTGACAGACTCAGGTTGTTATTATCGCTCGATCCGGTCTGTACATTGACGGTGAGGAGTTGCCCCTAAGCAGCTAACGTCTGCAGCATTCTCCCTCAATACTGGACCAGTTTTAATAAAATGTTGTCCTCATTACTCACTTAGACGAAAAAAACATGGGAACATGTGGCCCAGGTTGAAAAATACTGAAGGTACCCTTTAAGTAAATGTACTTAAAAGAAAAATGTCCCCTGTGACTGTTATATTATTATATTTTGTTTCATAAGATTATTGTTATTATTACAGGATTTTACTGTTTTGTGGTTTGAGGTGGCACTCGTTATTTCCATTGTGGATTAATCTGCTGATTATTTTCTTCATTAATCGATTGATTGTTTGGTTTGTAGAAATAGTGAAAAAAGTGAGAAATGCCCTTCACAATTACTCAAAGTGACACCTTCACCATGTTTGTTTTGTCCAAACGTCATCATTATTACGAATACATTATAATTGTTAACATTACTGAAAGACCAAGCAGCAGCTGGACCCATAAAATATTTTACATGTTCTCATCTCAGCTTTTTTTTTACATTGTCATATTTTCTGTGTGCAAAAATCATAATTTGTAAAGTAACTAATAACTAAAGCTGTCAGATAAATGTAGTGAAGTAAAGCTTTTTTCATTCATAAGTTACAATCTTAACCTGTTATAAATCCCTCTGCCCTCCAGGAGCACCTGACGCGTCACGTGATCAGCTGGGAGGAGCTGCAGGTGCTGGGCATGTGTCTGGCCCAGGGCGTCGCCCACCTGCACAGTGACCGCCTCCTCTGTGGACGCCCTAAGGTCGGACAGAGCGAAAAAAATCTTCACTAATCATAATAACCGACACACTGTCAAAATAGGAACAGCAAACAACACATCTGCCCAGTCTTTATTATAAGTCCTAATGATGAGCAAATTATACAAAAAGTCTAAATTTTTACTGGCTATCCCCTAAAGTGTAATAAATGCCAGCAGTGTTAATGTGAAACATCTTTGTATATAATGTATTGTGTTTTTATTTATTTAATAAGTACTTTTGTCCCCCATCCTTCTATCGTACCCTAAAGGTGCCCATAGTCCATCGAGACCTGAAGAGCTCCAACATCCTGGTGAAGAACGACCTGACGTTGTGCCTGTGTGACTTTGGGCTGGGACTCCGCTTGGACAGCACTCTGACTGTGGATGACCTTGCCAACAGTGGGCAGGTCAGAGAAAAAGTCTCTTTGAATCACTTTTCTTCTTTATTTTGTGACTTAGTTCAAAGAGCACATTTGAGTAAGGTACTGGACTTACCTGCAGTCCTCCAAACAATCTAAAGAGTCAACTGCAACTTGTCTATAGTCATCATATACAAGTATGACCAGTGGTGGAAGAAGTACTCAACGCTACTTAAACTTGGATAGGTAACACCAGCAAGAGCATGTTGGATGTACCCAACCGAAAACCTTGCATTCTTCCTAATGACCATCAGGGGGCGACTCCTCTGGTTGCAAAAAGAAGTCTATGAGAAAATGACTCTACTTCTCACTTTATTTATTTATTTATTTATTACCTCAGTAAACATGGATGTATGTGTTTTTCTTAATCTGAAAAGTGACTAGTAATTCAAATTGTCCTAAATGTAGTAAATAAGTACAATAATTCCCTAATTCCCAAAATGTAGTGGAGTAGAAGTATAAAGCAGCGGGAAATGGAAATACAAGAGCAAAGTTGTGTACTTGGTTACTTCCCTCCACCTAATATGACATCAACACATACCTGCAAACTTGTCGCTTTTCGCCGAAATGCCTGTCACCCTTTTCACCTCATGAGTTTGCAAGTATGCAACACTTCTGAAGTTGTAACCTGGGACAGGCCGCTGTCTGTCTTGACTGACAGTGGTTGAAAACCAAAGTACTTCTGTAAGGCGTTGCATACAGCATGTTGCTACATCTGTGGATTTAAAGAGGTAGTGTATGATCTGCTGTTTTGGCACCTCTCTCTGTTTGCATTCAATTAGCTTTGTGTGTTTTTTGGTGAGATATGAGCTGGCTCTGTTTGTTTTGATTTCCCCTCTTTACTGTAAGTCCCTCTGGGTGTTTTGATAAGACACACCTTATTTGCTGACAGAAGACATCTGACAGAGACAGTCAGGCAATTGAGGGATGAACGAAGAGGTAGAGGCTTTGTTGTGACACGCAAGCTCCTCAGGGCAGCTCCATCTCTTTCTCAGCCTGTCAGTGGGACTTTGTCCTGTGCTTGTATATGACTCACTAGCTGGAAATGCAGCAGGGACAGGTGAGAGATAGTTGACAAACTTATTAAACCAGCACTTGTGACCCAAATGGACGATAAAAAGAGGAGAGAGGCAGCGTAGCGGAAGCGTAGCGGAAGCGTAGCGGAAGCGTAGCGCCCACCCTCCGGTTCCCCATCAAGTAAACACTGTTAGCTCTGTCGGCACTGTTAGCGCCGTTGTTTGCACTGTTAGAGCCGTTAGCACCGTTAACTGCTAGCCACCGGTCAGATGTTTGGTCATGATGACATCATAAAATATGACATGCTTCATTCGAAAACCTCAAAGGAAGCTTAGAAAGTAAAGTAATTGACATTTGGTACAACCCTACAGTACATGCAAACGCAGGAACAAATGTAAAGAACCTGGTGGTCATGGCCAGGTTCTTTACATTTGAACCTGGCCATGACCACCAGGTTCTTTACATTTGTTCCTGTGCTCTCCGTGATGTCGTTTTATCCATTCAAATGTTCAAATGATGATCTGTGGCTTTCACATGGTGTTCCATTCACAACTGGAAAAATTCCCAGGTGGTAGGTTGTAATTATAACCTCTGTGTGTGTTCACGTGGTCCAGATCGGAAAAACCTGCGAAGAAAATTGGGCAACCGCACAATGCTTTGTCTAAAAACAATGGGTTCAGAGCACGCCTATTATTTTGCCAACATATCCTGCCAGTGAGCTTGTTCGACTTTGTAACTTCAACCACGAATGTACTAAACTTAAAGCTAGAGTGGGTAAGGTATTTCATAAACCTTTTTTGTTATATTTGTAGAAATTCTCTGAAGGCCCGACAGCAATCAATGAATCAAATGCTCTTACAAAGGAAGACATCTGTGGCGGTCGCAGGACTGTAATAAGCCCGTCCTATCATTTCATTCAGCCCGAATAAAAACAAAAATGAATTTCCCCCATGGGGATTAATAAAGTTATCCTTCCTTTTCAACCATCAAAATGCCAATGGGTTGACATATTGTGAATTGTAATTGCTGTCACCACAATTTCTTTACAGCATTTTCTTGAGGTGCTCAGGTATCGTGTATATGAAATATTTGCATATTGCATATTACATTACATTACATTACAGTCATTTAGCAGACACTTTTATCCAAAGCGGAATACAATAAGTGCAACAAACTAGTATGAATACAATAAGTGCTGAGGGGAAGGCTCAGGGTAATACTTCTCATATAAAAAAAAAATTTTTTTAACTTTTAGAGCAGTGGTTCTCAACTGGTCTGGCTGCGGGACCCACCATCCCATCACCCATTAATGACAAGCCGCGACCCAAACGAGGAAAATGTTCAACTTCTGAAATGTATTTAATGTAAAGATGGTGCAGTTTGAACCTGAGCTGAAAATGTCCTCTGCAGTCGTAGTGTAGGGAGCTCTCTTGTGCAGAGAAATTGTTCCTGTAAGTCCCCGTCCCACACGTTTCACGTAAACGAGTAAAACTGCTTTGTTTGTTATGTCTGTAGATTGGTCCATTTGTAATGCAAAATGACCACTTGCCTTAATTCGAGCTGTGGTCTGTTTGATGTCATCCGACATGTCTTCAATTTATCTACTTAGTGTCATTTGACGGAGGTATAGCTTTCAGTTTATCCTCTGCTGATATTAGCATTACAAGGCATTAACGCCAAATATCGTTAAGGAGTGTGAATAGATGACACTCCGCTGCATAAAAAATCACCTTCAAAATAAATGCACAGGATTTTTTATTAGTTTTTTTTGCCAGGCAATGGCCCGCGACCCTCTGTGGGTCGTGACCCACCAGTTGAGAATCACTGCTTTAGAGGGGTGGAACAAAAGCCACTAGCTGGAGGGGCGTGACTTGTTGGTTTTCACTTGGGACTGGATTTGAAATTTATTGGATTTGAGTTTGGACTTGACTTGGTTCTTAAATTGGATTTTGTTGGTCTTAAGTTGGGACTTGACTTGGGATTTGTTCATCTTGACTTGGATCTTATTGAACTTGACTTGGGACTTAATAGCAAAGACTTGAGACTTACTTGTCACTTGCAAAACAATGACTTTTTCCTTCCTCTGGTTGTGTAGAAATCCCATCAACATTTTAAAACGAACTTAGAAACCGCAACAGAAACGTTCATAGTGTCATTTTTGACGTTGTAAAGCCAACTGTACTGACTGCAGTCACTGATGCGTGTCCTCAGATGACGCACATCAAACATGGGTACTCTTGTATCTCATCCAATCGTGAATGAAGACAGTTGGTGAGTCAGGTTTACTGTCACTAAGCCAAATGGTTAATTGTTGCAACAGAAACATATCACCAGCCAGACAAGAGTAAACATCACGCTCCTACAGGTTCGGTGTACGAGTCTATACCGTTTTGATTTCATGCAAACCGTCTGATCCGATTAGTTTTTATGACATGTTCCTGCCTACATCAGCAACCTGTGCTGACAGGTTGACGGCACTAAATCCAACTTGTATTGCAGTAGTAATAATTAATATGACAAGGTGATTATCATAATATTGTACTTTGTTGCTTGCGCTACTTTGCCAAGCTGGCCGAGCTACGAAGGAGCCCACGCTATCACTAACTGCACTCCCTGAATAAATATCTTAATTATTTTTCAAAAATGAAAAAGCAATTTCAGAAAGGAAAAGACAGAAGGGTCTACAATATGTGTTTGAAGGATATATCCGGGATGTCAAACTGATTCAGCTGTTAAAACAGATTAAACAGATAGAAGCTAAAGCTACAGATCAGTGTTTGAGTGAACCACCACGTCATCACGATAAAATAAAAGAACACAGAGGTGGCTCTTTATTTACTGTTCCAAAAATGAAAAAGCAAAAGCAGCATGTGTACACCTTCAGTATACCATCAGTAGCTAGCGTAGCATAGAAATGTTAATGATGTGCTAGCGTACTCTGCCGTGTTAGCTCCACAGGTTTTTATTTAGAAACATACTTACAACCTCTCTGGGTAACAAGTATCACTATTACAGTAAGGGGGTCAACATATTGAGCATATTCGACACGACACCGGCAACATGAAGGAGATCACATCTCAGTAGTGGTGGGAGAGGCGCACGTTGGGTCCGTTTACTAGAAAGTTCATGTTTTTTTTTGAGGTGATGAAACAAGGGTTTCCAGACAGCCAATGTATTGCAAATTTTACAAATTTTTCACCGGCGCGACATGAGTCTGTACTAGCGTGTTAACCCCTGCTGGTGTCTCTGTGCCGCAGGTGGGCACGGCGCGTTACATGGCTCCGGAAGTGCTGGAGGCCCGACTCAACCTGGAGAACATCGAGTCCTTCAAACAGACCGACATCTACTCCATGGCCCTTGTGCTTTGGGAGATGACGTCCAGGTGTGAAGCCGTCGGAGGTCAGTGCACGCACACACACACACACACACACACACATACTCATTAATGACATGTTTCAGGCTGTGGGAAGTATGATGTCATGTAACACACAAGCACACACTTAGAGACGAAAACAGATGCTACTGAGGTGGTGTCAACCACTGAGATAACTCAACAGGAACAACTGGCGTCATACGTTTCGGGGTCATCACAACAAGTTCAGCGGGCGATCCGATTGGCCGGTAGCAATGTCAGAGGTCCTGGCATGTAGCAGTGGAGGCAGCACGTGCTTCTGTTGATAATTAACTCCCCTTCACTTCTTCAATACAGCATGATGTTCATTTAGTAAGCCGTTCGATTGTATCTAGCTCCACCCACTTGTGTCACTTCTGGTTGCAAAAAGCCAAGGTAGTGACATCCAAAATGTCGAGGCCACAAAGTCCATAGTCCACAAGCCGACGTCACTGTGACTTAGTCCACTTCTTACATACAGTCTGTGGTTGGAGTGTGAGACATCAGTCAGTATTTTACACCACCAGAGGAATCTATTTGGCATGTCCATTGCTCTGACAAGAAAAAAAGAAAAACCTTTTGAGGAATCTTGAAGGGAAAATCTTGCTAATGTTTTAGTTACAACGAACACGATAAACTATAAGCATGAGTAATATAGGCATCCAATCTGCATGGCTGGAATGGACTATAGACAGGTCTGTATGCAAGACATAGAAATATATACAGGTTGCATTAGTTATGCAACTTTTCTTACACAAGATCATGTCCTTAGACTTCTAATGACACCAGACTGTCTGCAAGAAAAACTTTTGTTCTCTGCCACAAATTTTGAGACGCACTTTCATCCATTTCTTAAGAGGAAGTGGATGAATTATCATATTGCACACGATTGTGCAATATGATGATTGTGCATACTGTAATCTGAGAGTCCTTAAATATACATATATACAACGTGACCTACATAGAGCAGACAGGAGGTTGAGGCTACTCTTTCTTTTTTTGCGGGGGGGGGGGGGGGGTTTACGGTCACGTCTGTCGGACTGCCCCTCGACCTCAGCTCCAGGTCTGCAGCGGGAATCTTAGGAATGTCTGATATGTGAGGGAGACGATCTGAACTCCGCTGTTGCCCTTCTTTGGGCAGGAAATCAGGGGGAGAGGGCGGCAGTGGATACTGTACCTGTTTCAGCTGGCTGTGTGTGTGTGTGTGTGTGTGTGTGTGTGTGTGTGTGTGTGTGTGTGCGTGCTCACCCTCTGAACCCCAAATTAGCTGGTGGGGTTGAAAGGCATGCTTTCTTTTTTTATATAAATCGCCGTTAAATCACAGTTTATCGTAGCAAGAAACTGTAAAAATAGAACTTATCGCCTCAGAAAAAAACAAACATATTTAAGCTTAAAATTGTGATATTGTATCAAAATCACTTCATTCTACATGTCTAATCTAAAAATTGGCCAAAAATAAACCGTTTGCACAAACCAAATCCTGTCAAAAACAATAAATTCTGCGCTCCTCAGCCTAGGAACTAGCACGTGGAGCCTCAATTTATTTTTCCCAATATTGGTAACAGTGTTGGATATATAGATCCCATTGTTTTCTCTTTTTTGTAAAATAAATTACCAAAGATATTTAACTTTCTCTGTTTGTTATGATTTATGGCGTTATAACTGTGTTCCACTGCAGTAAAGACATCTTTGAGTTCTCTCTACTTCTAGCTGTGATTGTGCTGTTTCCATAGAGGTGCGGATATACAGTATATTGCAGTGAAAAACAAGGCCACAGAGAATAAAACATGAAGGGAGCAAAAACAACACCCTGAAACGGCTTGGGTTTCCAGAAGGTTAAATGATGGAAGGGATTGTTTCAGTCAGCGTGGCGTGGGGATGCTACGGTGAGGACATTTCCCCAACACTGAATAAACTTGTGACAACGCAAGTGTTGGAGACTACACCGGACCTTTTACAAGAACAGACATTGGCTGATGCTCAGTCTCTGTAAGCACTGGGCCTTTAACGATGGATGGCTGTGTGTCTGCGGGGCTCGTTTCGGCAGCCTCACTATCGGCCGGCTCGTGCCGCAGCTCCGTACAAAAGTTCTAGTGAATCACACCTTTTATCTGCGTTTCAACTGAGAAGCACCTGGTAATTTAAATTGCGGGACTACTGTTCAAGAAACTGAAGGTTTCTTGGCGTTGTCATCGTGCCGGTGAGAGCTGCTGGTGGTCACAGGGTTAAACTCTCTGCAGTCTGCAGTGTAGCCCGTTTCAGCTAAAAAACACATCAGAAAAAGAAATAAACTGTGGTTCCCTCTCACTGCTGTACGGAGCAGACTCCTCCAATCTCAAATCACAAGTTTTTATTTGATGAACGTGGGCGCTGATGAATGAACTAAATTAGTTTTATTGCTATAAAAAAACAAGGAAAAACAACAGAGAAAGTAATGTAATCGATGTGTCATCAGTGTATGGACGAACTTTACACTTTCTCCTTGTATGGAGAGGGGGAACCAATCCCAACCTATCTTTCAAATCTGAAACCAAGTCTTGACCCTCAAACAACCGTTTGGACAAGACAAGAAGTCCTGAGGTTTGGTGTTGAAGTACACACGAAAAAAAGAACACGTTTGTGTTTCCTCCCGTCTGCTCTCCTGGGAGTAGAGAGGGACTCTCTCTCCGGTCCACCTCCTTCCCTCCGCCTAGTTGGGCTTTTTTTCTAGACAGTCTGAGACATTTAGAACCAGACAGTCACATTCCAACACACGTGTGTTTGTCTGCGTGTGTGTGTGTGTGTGTGTTTATTTCAGACGCAGAAACGTAGAAGCAGAGGACGAGAGAGAGGGGTGTGCCGCACAAACACCCTCATCTTGCCCCGTTTATGTCTCAATCTGTGTGTGTGTTTGTGTCTGTGTGTGTGTGTGTGTGTCCGTCCTCTGCCTCCACCCCGACAACAGGGGACAGAATGGTGGATGGAAATACTACCGCTGAACCGGCGTTGTTGTTGTTGTTGGTTATAGCACATTCTCTGTGTGTCTCTGTGTAACATTTCATTTAGGTGTCCTGAATTAGCCTGCAGGGCGTGGCAGTGGGAGGGCGCAGGGTTACGAGGGGTAACGGAGCGCGGCAAAGAGTTTTGCACCGTGCCAAGTGGAAAAAAAAGGCTTGTGGTGCATGAAGGGAGGCGGCCTTTTTGGCAGAAGACCGGTGAAAGGGGGTGATCGGGGCGACCCTGATGGACAGAGGACATTTCAGAGGACAAAGAAGACTTTGATGTTTTGAGAAATTCACTTTTTTGCCGTTGGGGGGGGGGGGGGGAATATTTGATCCTGTTCACTTTTCTGTGTGTGAAGCCAGGAGGTACTTAGCGTTGTATAAAGGCTGCAGGCAGGAGGAAATAGCTGGCGGTCCTATTAAAGTTACTATGAGGAACTTCTAACTGGTTATGAAATGGTGTAGATTTCATACGGATGCCTCTATATGACCTGCATAAGTAGACGAGACCATCAGTGTGAAGGTTGGCTATTTCTATGTAGTCATTGTTGATGCTTGTCACTGATTCTGAGCAAAATCTGACTAAATCATGCAGGTTCACCAGAAACTCCTTCAGACTTCAGCAACCGGTCCGCCGTGCACGGACTCAGATCCGGCTCCGCCTCCGACCCAGGCTGTACTGCTGGAGGGAACCAGGACTGCACCTTGAAACCATAAATAGAATTTGTTACATAATTTGACAACAGCTGACGTGTCGGTGGGCATATTTTTCAGCTTTGTAGCGAGCTAAGCTTTCTCCACCACTTCCAGTCTTTATGCTAAGCTAGGCTAACTGCCTCGTGGCTCCGGCATTGTGCTTCACACCACCGAGAACGAACGATAACTGAGTGCTCATCACCCAAATTTCAGGTATATTATGTAGAAGAGAATAGAAGTAGCAGAGTCCTTCGACACTTCTCTAACCAGCAACTGTGAGTCATTTTCAGGACTGGACACAGTTAGAACTAGATTAACCTGTTACTAGAGACTATCTCTGGACATTGGCCAATGCTTGGTTTGGACGGAGAAAAGACTTTTGACCAGAGGGTGTGGTTCATTAGCTAAACGCAGGTTCAATTCTGCTTCCCACGATGTCGTTCGCCCGCCATCGGTGTGAGATCAGACTCATGTTGAGACGCCCGTTGAGAGTTTTGGGTCTCTTGAGCGCCAAAACTTCGGAGCTGTGTTTTATTTCAAGATAGCAAATCCCAGACAGCGTTTCCAGCTACAGAGGTTCCTGCTAACCTCCAGGCCACAAAAGGTCTCAGACAGATAATCTGCAAAGGAAACTGTCGTAAACCGCCTTCCGCGCCCTCAGATTGGATATACCCGGCCTTTAAACCGAGGGCCCCTAGACAGTGAAAGGGGGGACAGTGAGACTGAGGCTCTGGTTGCAGTCTCTTTAGAAATCTCAAACCAAAGACGGGAATTCTTCTCATAGCTTTTTAAATGTCCAGAGCTGCTGAAGGGAAGCAGGCGCCACTTCTCTCGTATGGACCGAGTCTCCGTGTCTGTCCACGTCTGTGTGTCCCAGATGCCGCTCAGAAATACGAGGACAAGTGCAGGCTTTAAGAGGCTAATTGACCATCAGAGCATGAAATTGGACCCTTTTTCGCTACGGTCTTGATGTTTAGAAACACTCCACCTCTTTTTATTTCTGTTTCCAGCTTTCTCATTTTTAGGTCAGCTCGCTCTGCGCTGTTCTGTGTTTTTCAGCTGCATCCAGTCCAGGAAAATGTGTGGTATTTATACCAGCTCCGCAGCAGGAGATCTAAACAGCAGAGAAGCTGGCATAAATAAGCTCCAGGGGAACGAGGCCCGGCCTGGCCCGGCCCGGCTGGGTCCGCTTCTAACATGCTAAAAACGGTTGGGGAAGTTCCACATGTCAAAAACAGGAAGTGTGGACCTGTAGAGTCAGCTTCTCTGCACACAGTCCCAATCCCAGACCTCCAACTTCCTGTCCGGGGGTTCCACTCCAACCTTCTCGCTTCCTGTATTTGAGGACACAGCGGCAGAGACCACTTAAATGAAACTGTTGCGGCTTTTCCTGAATTCCATCATACCATTCTGCTAATTAGCATGGACAACACGTGTTATTCAAAATTGATTTGCAGCTGCTGAGTCAGATTATGGCCAGCCAGAAGATAGTAATCTCACCACAAAGGGGAATTTAGCAGCCGCAACTGAGCTACGTCTATCTAGCTTTACATTCAATGAGTCCTTGATTTCAGACAGAGGTAGCAAAAAAGTGCTTTATGGTCTATTTGACTCTAAATGGACCATCATTTACTAAATGAACAGTATGCTGTATTGAAGAAGACTTGAAACTAGAGATTGAGACCATAAACTCATGTTTACAATGTTTACTGAGGTAATAAATCAAGAGAGAAGTAGAGTCATTTTCTCATAGACTTCTATACAACCAGAGGAGTCGCCCCCTGATGGCCATTCGAGAGAATGCAAGTTTTAAGACACTTCCTTATGGCTTTGCTCTTCAGAACCGGAGGTTGCCGCCTAAGTAGGATTCATAATAACGCTGTCCCTTTCATCCCCGCCTCTAAAGTCTCAAACTACAACTTGAGCGAGCGTTGAGCTATCCGCGAGTGAGCGTTGAGCTTGTTTTTGACAGCTTGTGAAATACAGGACATAAAAAGTATGAACTGTAAGAACAAGAGAAGAGTACACAGAACATGACCCTTACACTGTTTGTTAGATATTTACATATCGTTTTCATGGACGACCGTGCAGCAGCTAGTGTCTCGTGTCACGGCTACGGTGAGGATCCAGAGAGCCCTTCTCCTCGGGGGGCTGAACACAGACTGCAGCTGTTGTGAGCTCGGTTTCATGAGGTCTGGACCCAATCCCGGAACTTTGTTCTGAATTTTTCATGGTTTTCGACGTCATGCTCTCCCTTTCTCTCTCTATTTTTTTTTTGCCTCTGCTTGTTCCTCGACATGAAATAATCTAAACAGAAATGAGGGATTGTTACGTCGGAGCTCTGTACAGTCTGAGGTTTTAGACTAATTGCTTGTTCGCGGTAGCTGAATTGACGTTTTCAGAAAAAGATCTTTTTCCCTCCCACGGCGACATCATGAAACTATTTATTTCTTTATTACACTTCCTATTCACCTGTTTCTCTCCCTCTGTCTTCCTCTTTTTACATTTCTGTTTTCACCTCAAAATCTGATATTTGCTTGTTTGTTGTGTCCGCAGAGGTGAAGGACTACGAGCCAGCGTACGGCTCCAAGGTGCGAGAGCACCCCTGTGTGGAGAGCATGAAGGACAGCGTGCTGAGGGACAGAGGACGACCCGAGATCCCCGACACCTGGATCAGACATCAGGTCAGACTAACACAGACAATAACCGGAGCGGGAATACCAACCATTATTGATCACTTATCTAGGAATTACCCTTTTCATAGTATTTATTTTTTACATGGACGAAAGCACATTCATCAACATTATTATTGACGGATACTGTCGTCACCTTGGGACCTTCCTTTGTAGAATATGAACCATCAACACTGCATACAGTCTGCTGCTAATGTGTGTTTTTTCTGACATGATTTCATGTCATGCAGCAAATGTTCCATTAGCAGGAAGGAAACATGCTCTGGTGTAGTAGTACTATAGGTGGTTTTGTGTAACTTGATGTTCACCCAAACACTTGGTAAATCTCACCTCCTCCGCTGTCTCCTCCTCTCCTCGACAGGGCGTGGCGGTGATCTGCGCCACCATCACGGAGTGCTGGGACCACGACCCCGAGGCCCGGCTCACCGCCCACTGCGTCGCCGAGCGCATCTCAGAGCTGGAGGACGAGATGGACAAGCTGTCCAGCCGCAGCTCCTCGGCGGAGAAGATCCCCGCAGAGCTGAAGATCCCCATGGAGGTGGGGATCCCCGGGGAGGAGGTGAAAATCTCCCAGATACAGGACGTCTCCGCCGCGGACTGCTCAGTGAGCGACGAGAAGTGAGAAGGGGGGACCGGACCTTTTTTAGTTTTAATTCCCCAACAAGGGCACTTATTCTGGAGTCAGGAGTTGAGCTCCTGGACGTCCCGGGACAGCGTCATATCTTACTCTACCCCAGGAAAAAAAACAATCACAAGAGACTGTGGGTGACGCTTTTGGGCTTCACCGCTTTTAAACGCGCAACAACTTGCCTTAATCAGCTGAAAAGCTAAAGAGCCAAAAAAAAAGAAAGCCAAAGTTAACTGGAAGCTTCCAAAGATGCACAGAGAAAGATGTTTTTTGTTTCTTTTTTATATTCTCTCTGAGCAGAAAGGTCACTCTCTTAACGAGAGACAAACATGGCGATAACTGTTAAACCAAAGACATTTCATGTGCACTTTACCGTGAGACACTTCTGTGTCCAAAAGTGTCTTTGACTTTGAGCCAAAGTGTCAGCGGAGATGTGGCCTTAACACTAATGATGCTGTGGACTCCGTCCGCAACCAGCAAGGAATCCAAAGGAGTGTGTCTGTGTGTGTGTGTGTGTGTGTGTGTGTGTTTTACCCAGCTATACTTACAACCTTGTTTGCCACAAAAAACAAGCACAATGTAAATAGAGACAGTGACTGTACATAAGAGACAAATCAAGCCCAAACAAAAGGGAAACGTGATCCTACGACTTCTATTTGATCGCGGAGATTAACAGACTTCATAGAGATGTATTTTTAAAAAATAACTTTGTGTTGTTTCTATATCAACGGGTGTGCCGAAATCTGTTGCCTTTCCTCAATGTGTGTCATTTGTAAAATATTTGTAAATCTTTTTATGAAATTAAAGATATTTCTGTATACTGAGATCCGTCTTTCACTCGTTCTGTGGTTCGGCTGGCAAAGATACAAACTACTGAGCGATGTGGATTTTCCTTATCGTTTTGTCACTCACGTACGAACGCCCGCTCCTAAAGATATATTTTAGCGGTGAGGTAGTTTTTCTCCGCCACCTATCCTTTTGTGTGCTATTTCATTTTTCATGGTTCCGTGCTGACACAGCAGTCTCATGAAGAACTAGGAGACATTGGGTTACATGTGGGGATGCAGTAGTATTACATTTGGCTACTTGCCGATACAGAGTACAGAGTACCCATGTGAGTACTTGATAGTACCATTACATTGCTAACAATTACTTTGAAAACATGTTTAATTTTTCACCAGATGTTCCTCACTGTCCAACTGTAACAAACTAACTAAACTGACATTTGAACGTTCTGTTTTCCTGACACAAGCACAGCGTAGTGCGATTACGAGTACGTTATCGGACCAATAGCGTATACTGGTATGGATCGGCATCCACAGTTAACCTTGGACTTTTAAAAACACGTTCTAATCTCAACTCGGCACTGGGTACACGGGTCTCAGTAAACACGCGGTTAACTTTGTAAATTCAAAAACACTTGCTTCACTTTAGGAAGAACATCATGGTTGGGCTTAAAATAAGTACGTCAACAAGCTGACTTCATCACTGACGTAAGTTGACAATAACTCACACGAACACCGGTCTGCCGGACGAAAGTCCGGAGTTTGTTTGACGCAAACAAACTCTTTCTGCCTCTGTGTTTTTTTTCGGTCTTTATCAAGCGGTAACATCCGGTCCTGCCGAGTGAAGCCAATGTGAAAGTGCCTTAAACATTCATTCTCTCTAGTGTCCACCAGGGGGCGACTCCTCTGGTTGTATAGAAGTCTATGAGAAAATGACTCTACTTCTCTCTTGATTTATTACCTCAGTAAACATTGTAAACATGAGTTTATGGTGTCAATCTCTAGTTTCAAGTCTTCTTCGATACAGCATGATGTTCATTTAGTAAATGATGGGCCATTTAGAGTCACATAATAGACCATAAAGCAGGGTATGCTTTAGGGCGGGGCTACTGTGATTGACAGGTCCCTGCTGCTACCAGATGGCGTCTCTACGTCACTCCTCATTCCAAATATGGTAACTTCTGTTCATTGGTTGTGAAAAAAACAAACATTATATATGTTGCATATGTTTATATATCTTGGGTGTTTTTTGTATATGATGGGTTTACGTTAGTTACTTGAAAGCCTATGAGTCTCATACAGACGCTTAAGAGTGCCTCGTGCGTCGACTTTAAAGGCGCAACGTGTGAGATGTAGCCACCTCCGCCAAACACATAGGAGGCAG